TGAGGGATATTCAAAATAAACAATTTTCAAAATTTCCTATCCTATGGGTTTTCTGAAGTTCCTATGTGTGTGTATACCAAATCTTTCGCCAGGACCTTGGGAACCAGGAACCAGGAACACTCCTGAGGAGTGGGGACAAGCTGTTTGTGTGCTTTCCCTGCTTGCCACTGAGGGCACACTCAGTGAACACCTGCCAGCAGAGTAGCAGTGGTCAACATACCAGCAAATATTTCTATGCTCAAGTCTAGACACGAAGCATTCTTTGGACATTTACTGTTTTCAATAGATACTGCAACGAATATTTTCTCAATGCCTATGATAGGCGGTGGAAAAGGCAGCAACAAATTCCCAGAAGATAAGTCTGGGGAGCCTCTCACATTTGGAGTGAAAGAATTTTTAATGATACCTTCAAAAAAATTAATGTTCCACTGCTGAATCTAGATAATTTGATAATATGTCCAAAGTCATAAGCAAAGTGTCACACAAACAACATTTGTGTGTATTTTTGGAGGAGGGGTAAGTTTGGCAAATAAGGACTAAACTGTTGATTGAATAGATGGTTTCTGATTTACTGGTTAGTACCTGTAATCTTTCCACATTTTCTTCCCCTTCTATACTTAAAATCTCAAGGTCTAATCTGATAGCTTCAAAGAAAATCAAAATGGAATAACATTCCATCTTGGACTGCCATGACCATCAAAGTCTCAAGGGCATGAGTTCACAGTCCTTGCAGCCACTGTAAAACAAAAGCCTTTCACTAAGGTCTCAAGCAATGTACGCCGAGCACAGGGTAGGAGGGCTAATTAAATCCAGTTTCGGAGAAGGACCTAGGATGCTTACAGGAAAAGTTTTGAAAAATGAGACACATCAACAAAAGCACTCCCTGGTTTGGGGTTGGTGGGGAGAGTTGAAAGGTTATCATAGGCAGAAATCAAAGCATCAGCCAAGCAGGTTGGTGTGGGGACTCCATGAGATTCCACCACGTTCATTGGATTCCAGGCGATGAAACTGTAAGTAAAAGTTGGGATCAGATCACAGAAAGCCTTGAGCACTGAAACCAAACGTATTTTTAAAGCTTCCATCTTTTAAAAAATATTTCCATCTCTTATTTATTTATCTTCATGTGCTGTTTCACTCACTAACTTCCTAGACAGCTGCAATGACCAGGGTTATGTCACTCAAAGCCAGGAGCCAGGAGCTTCATCCATGGGTAGCAGGGGCCTAGGGATTTGTACCATCTTCCTCTGCTTTTCCAGGGGTATTATCAAGGGGCTGGATTGGAAATGGAGCAGCCAGGACTTGAACTGATGCCCATCTGGGAGGCAGGCGATACGGGTCTTGATTTACCCACTGCAAAAGAGGCTCAAAACCAAACTTCTTAACATGGGCCTCAATTCTCATTTTTCTATATTAGTAATCTCCACTGATAGTGATTAACAGAGCTCAATTGTCTAGGCTTGAATTCTTCCAATATCTTTGACTCTAGATTTATCAATAATGCCTCAGTTAATCCCAGAATATTCTACTTTGCTACATATCGAAACCAAACTGCACTTTATACACCACTCACACATTAAATGCCTGAGTTTGGTTCTTATTTAATTGAATTCTTTCTAGAGTTAGCTGCTGATAAGAGTTGTAGCATAGGACAAACTTTTTCTGCCCACGTCTTCCTCCAACACCTTACGCATTAAGTATTTTCAAAAAAATATTGATGTGTTATTCTCAATCTCATGACCAGGACTCTAGAATTTACTCACTAGGCTATCGAGAGACATACAAAGTTAGGGAGCTACAATGAAAACACTTGCACAGAGATATTTGCACACAGGGGGGATGTTACTGACTGACAGACCTCAAGAAATGGGTTTCAGATTCAATGTTTTAAATTTTAAACATTAAATTGCCTCTAAAACAGGTTGTAAAGTTTATGTTTCCATCAACAATCTGTGCAGGAAGGATTATTCCATGTCACTAGAGAACACTTCATAAGACAGAAATTTAAACTTTCTATAGCATTTTCTTTATTTCAATTCTCAATCATTAGTAAGGTTGGGCATTACCTTGCCATTTGCCAATTGGACTTTTTCTATACATTGTGCCCGCCCTTACTTCTTATCCATATTTTTTGAAAGAGTGGTTTTATTTCTTTATTATCAATAACAAGTCACTATACATTGCAGCCACCGGCCTGTCGGTTGCTATGATTTGACTTCTCAAATGATATGAAATGATTTCTCCAAGTTTTTCACTTGTATTTAGACTATCTTCATAGATTTATTAATCATTCAGGAGTTTAAAATATCATGAACTTGGACCTACCCATCTTTAAAAAAAAAATAACTCCTGGGATTCAAGCTTAGAAAAACACATTACAAAAAAGTTTCTATATTCCAGTATTGCTATTAACTTTTCTATTCAGTTCATGATTTCCCTGATATGTATTCTTACATGACGTGAAGTTGGGGTCTCCTGAGGCATATTATTCTTATCATAAACTGCTAGGCCTGTAACATATACTAAATTGCATATATCTTTATTTGGAAATGAACTTGAACTAGACTTTCCAGAAATCTTGGCAGGACATGTATCTAATTATTAGTAACAGCAGTTACTTCTGAAAAATCAAGTTGAGAAGCAAGCATATTTTATCTTGAAATCTTAAAATAGTCTTTAAGAGAGTTGTATCGATAGTTATTGAAGAAGGGTGGGATAATCAGAGCCAACTTTTAGGAAGGTAGCTTTCATGAAATTAAGATCTGGAATAGAGAGTGAGGTTTGAGGATGGTGGAAGTCAGGACAGCAGCACGGAGAAAAGGAAGGAGAGACTATGCTGGAGAAAGATGATAAAAACGGTGGGCAGAGTGGGAAAGAATAAAATCAGAAGGCTGTGATGCTATGGATGCCGATTTCGCTTTGAAACGGTGTCACATCAGTGCGATACATGATCAATGCATGAGTGTACCTTCCACAAGAGCAAGAGTCAACTAGCAAATCAGCCAAACCTACAGTATATTCGTTTGCAACATCTACACTCCCAATCTGCTTCTTTGTGACTCCTTCAGAAACTATCCAAGTGTGTCACCTTCCTTAAAGTAACACCTGTGTTACTTATTACTAACCTTTTCAACCATGATAACTTAACTCACATTCCAGATTTTACCTATATTCAAGAATGACTGACAGAATACGATGTGGGGACACCTGTTTGTTGGTTACTTAAGAGAGTGATACTTCAGAGGGGTGACAGAGTTTGGGTCCAGAGCAGACATCAGCTCTACTAGGAAGCTGTATCCAGGTGCGCTCTGGCCCAGGCTGCGTGACTCAGAGCACACAGACGCAGCCCTCCGCAAGAACTGCCTTCCTTCCTGCTTCCAGAAAACAGGAGGAACAGCAGAAACATTTGGTGACCAGAAAACAAATAGCTCATCACTTGAGCCTGATTCACACATTTGCCATTTCTCCTTTAGTACTTAGAAAAATGAACCAACCTGTTCTACTTACAAATATCTGATTTTTAAGACCCTGATTTATGACACATTCAGGCATCCCCCATTGTACTAGCATTTAGATCAGTGTTCAACTGGGAGATCCTGGCTGTTGAGTCAGAGAGATGAATGGGTTCTTTCTTTGAATTATTATTCCTGCTGCTTTCACTGGGGAAGTTACTTATCACACAAGGATGTATGTCTACAGGGGTTAGAAAGAACGTGGCTACTATTTTCTGTCTATAGAGCAACACATGGATTTTAGAATGGGTGCACTTAGAACTTAACATGCAAAGCTGATTTCAAAGATTCTATCCTTTGTAGGAACAACAGCAAAAGAAAAGATAAATAAATAAAACTCTGCTAGTCTTAAGTAAGAATCTCCCAAACTGACACCTAAAACAGATCACAGGGCCGAAAATCTTGAGAAAAAATCTCATCACCGAGGGAATCAACAGGAACTTACTCGACTCGATTATAAAAACTCTGCTCCTTAAAAGCTGGGCCATGAATTTTCATAAAACTCAAATTGCTTCAATGAAGCAGCCACTGAGCAGCATCAATAAAACATGAAAATCAACTTATTCCTTTTATTTTTCTTCACTTAGATTTCAGTTACTAGCATTATTATTATGCATTTCAATACCAAATTTCAAAAGGCATAAGGAAACATGAATGTGAGGCTAGTCGGGTCACAGGAGAGGCTCACCAGTGATGCCTGGCTGACAGCTACTGTGCCCAGGTTTTTGTCAGTAGTTGTGAAAGATATTCAAGCAGAGGTTTCCATAAGAGGATCTGCCACAATTTTTAGCAACTGTACAACATATAATTTTGTTAAATTTGCATTCAAATAAGTGCTAGCCTTAAAAAAAAAGCACCTGTTCCTATGACAATAGGCATAGTGAAATGATGCTTACACAAATGTGATGATGAATGTCACTCAGTTATTGCTGTTATTTTTTTTCCTTCAGCAATTCATCAAATTTTTCTCTGATGTCTATCACCCAACCACTTAACAATCCTCAGTAGACAAAACCACGCCATAGAAATCTAAAGGCTGTTTTGCTAATACTCAGAAACCAAAAGGCATTATTGTGTTGGTACTTCGAAGACAATTTTTATTGACTTCGCTAATTGGATAATCAGCATTCTTCTACAATTCAGTAGTAAAATATTTCCTAGCTAAGCAAGAACAGGATTCTTTAGTTACCTCCTAATCAACGTATGTTTCAAAATGCTTATTCTTTTAAATGAATGTGATTTTTAAAATACTACGCTGTGTCTCAACATATAATAATACAATCTAGAAACTGCCCACTCAGTATAAATACACATCCTCAAATTACCCATCTTCAGAAACTCATTTTTAAGGGTTTTTTTTTTTTTGCATCTATACAACAGCCATTAAACTGCTGAAAGGATTAGCCTGAAAATGTATTATTCAATCACACTAGATAGCTTATCGCAATAAATTATAATACACATTAAATTACTAACAAATGTATGTACTACCTCATATAATGTGATTACACCATATGTTTGGGTGGGTTCTCTCCACTGAAGAAATATCTTCTCCTCAAAGGTACTTCCTTGGATGGATTCCGTGGGAACGGCCCCTGGGACTGAAGGAAGGTGGAGAAAGGTCATTGCGTAAGAAACAGTTTCCTTCCCCCTCCAAAACAAGATACATTCTCCTAAACTTAAGCTACCATTTATTAAAATGTAAGATCTTCACAATGTACAGACACAATTGTTTTTTAAAAATATGAACTCCAAACCCATTTTAGCTATGTTGTCCTGATAATGAAAAAAAAATCACCTCTCCTTTGGAGTCTGAATTAATTAGAGCTCAGCAATTATCTTTTAAAAGGAGTTTTTCATTCATTCAAAATAAATAATTGGTGCTTTTATCAACATGGATGTAATTACAGCTACTTCTGAGTAACATATATGAACTGTTACAGTAACACATATATTAAGAAAAACACACAAAGCAGAGATTAATGTAGAGTAGGTAAATAAAAAATGTAGTTTATAAAATTATTTGTTAATAATGCTGGAGACTCAGAAATATTTATTGTCATTTTTTTCAGAGATCAAAATATGTGAAACCTTAGAAACTGTAAGAAAATGTAATCAATTTAAGGGAAAATGGAGATCTTTTTTGCCAACTTTCTATAAAATAACAGTATCATTTCAAAATATGATTTATTTCTATCATAAATTTTAATTGATAATTCTAATTTTAAATTCACTTCAGCAGCTTTTGTAATATATATATAATTATTTTTATGCCAATAACTGACTTTGGTAGCTTATAAATAAGCTTTATAAATAAATCAGAATAACTACATTGTTTATAAATATATATGAGGCTGTGTGAACAAATTGTTTGGTAATGCAAAGAATGATCAAAAATGGTTTGCAGACAGTTCAAATGTCCTGATTTTAAAACTTCTGACAAAGTTACACTCATCAAGAGTGTTGGCATGAGGGTAGCCATATAGATCAAGGATTAGAACTGGGAATCCCCTTATAATTATAACTTTAAACCTATATATATGTTTGCAAACAATAGCTTTTCAATAACAGTGCTAGTAAAATTCAATGAAAAACAATCATCTTTCCTAAAAAATATGAAATCAAAAATAGACTAAAGACCTAAATATAAGACCATAAAATTCTAACATGCATGCAAATACTCATGATCTTTAATATTCAGAATGGCAAGAAAACAGAAATAATCCACATTTTCATTAACTGATGGGTAAACATATTTCATAAGTTCTTTTGTTTTTAAGGAGCCTGTATAAGTGTTTTAGGCTACAGAGGTTAAAATGATCCTCTCAATGATTGGCAAGATTGCCTAGGATGCAGGTTGGGAAGACTGTCTACGATTCCCAAAGGACCCATCAGTAGTATTCACTTTCTTTTCTTTTTTTTTTTTTTTTAAGATTTATTTTTATTATTTTTTGATTGGAAAGGCGGATATACAGAGAGGAGAGACAGAGAGGAAGATCTTCCGTCCGATGATTCACTCCCCAAGTGAGTGCAACGGTTGATGCTATGCGCCGATCCAAAGCCAGGAGCCTCTTCCGGGTCTCCCACGCGGGTGCAGGGTCCCAAAGCTTTGGGCTGTCCTCGACTGCTTTCCCAGGCCACAGGCAGGGAGCTGGAAGGGAAGCGGGCCCGCCGGGACTAGAACCGGCGCCCATATGGGATCCCGGGCGTGCTAGGTGAGGACCTTAACCACTTGCGCCACCGCGCCGGGCCCAGTAGTATTCACTTTCAACTGATGGGTTGCTTATAGGTGGACATGAGATACTGCCAAAGCACTGTTTCGACTGGTGCAAGCAAAAATTAGAGTGGGTGAGGGTTGGCTGGGCTTTGCCACAGCATCAGCTGGCAGAGGCTGGCACTGGGAGCTTAATCTGTCAAATTCAATTCCAGAACCACCTGGAGAGTGCACAATCTGGAAGTTGGAGTTGCCTAGTACAGAGATAATGGGCACCTCCCTCATGGGTTACCACTCCTACTGGAGAGCACAAAAACCAGGACAGGGACAGGGGTGGCTAGACAGAAGGGCAGACAGACGTATCTGCTATGGCCCGCAGATTGGAGCCAGATTCATGATCTACAGCCTGAGGACAATCTTGGGGTTCAAGAGGCAGACATGAGAAGCAGCCAGGTGGAGAGGCACTGAGTAGGAAAGAGGAGACAAGGAAAGAGGCAAGAGGAGATGAGGCAGCCAGTGGGGAGAATCCGGATGCAGAGATGGCGCCCCAACACAGAGTGACTGACACCTCTGCTAAGGGAGGGGCAAGTGCGAAGGAAAAGCAACATTGCAAGAGCGCAGGCCAAAAAATCCAGTCAAAGCTGAGTCCGGGTTTCGGGAACAAAGAACAGCAGAGAGTCACTGCGATGGTCTTACAGAGAGGACAGCACGGCAAAAATCAATTTCCAAAATCAGGTTAGTGCAAAGTAAGACCATTGAGAAAATGCCAGAAACCCAAGGAAAGGTTAGAGACGAATATGGAGATTTTGACATTAATTAATAAGGATCTGATATAGAAAGCAAAAGTTGAGAAAAATGAAACATTGAATACTCTGGAAGCAGAAACAGACATTAGGTCCAGCTCAAGTAAACACAGAGGCAGAAGGGCCAGCAAGGACTTGATGATACAACTGATGCCATAACTATCCTCTCCTTTTTAAAAAAACAGTGAGGGAGAGCTGGAGGGCTCAGACACAAGGCATTCAATACTGCCTTGACCCAGAGGTTGGAACAACCCCCGACTCCTACCAAAAAGAACTGTAATGAAACAACTATTTGAGGGTGGCCAAAAAGGCAGGGCTCCGGGAAAGCCCCTCACTTACTCTGGGAGCACCTGTTTTCCTTCCATAGTAGTCTGCATGATGTTGACAGAACAAAAATATCCTGTAAGTCTTTACTAGTTCTTTAAATGAAACAGTAAAAAAAAAAAAAAATCATCATAAATAATTCATGACATTCAGTTGATGATCAAAATTGATGCCCACAGCCTTGGAGGAAAGGGACTGAACCCCATGTTCAGTCCCAAAATTGATGCCCACTTCCTGAACCCCATGTCAAGTTCACTGACTGCATGTACTAGATGGGTTGGCTGTGTAAAGCAACATCTGGGAGTTGCCAAGACAACCAAGGAGAAGGGAGTTTCCTTTGTGCCTCTCTGCCTAGACCTAGGGAGCAGGAGGGTGTGGGCCATGCTCCCAGAACAGGACAAGATAGTGGCTTAAATACCCTAATTCAAGACAACTTTTTATCAGCTCAGACACCCGGTGCCTCTGTGCCCCTCCTTATGTCATGATTATAAGAAGAGAAAAAAAAAATGCCTTAAAAAGCCCAGGCCAGTTCCCCTAGAGCCAGTGCCCAGTAGGACACTACTTCCCTACTTCTTTGTAGGGCAGTGCTGTCTTATTGCTTTGCTTTGAATAAAGATTGTTTGTTTCCCTGCTTTTTATTTCTATGCAAACCTGAGGAATGAACTCACTGCACTTTGCCAGTAATAATAATAATTGGCAAGAAGAAGCAAAAAGTTAAACATCTACTTTTTGCAGGATTACAGAAGTTTATTCATTTAACAGCCTCCCAAGTTCTTTGCCACTAATTTTCATGCCTGGAAAATGAATTTCTGGTCAAACACAACCTTTTATATGAAATGCTATATGAATATGCTCAACATAAGGGCTCCCTGTATTCTCAGTGCAAAAGCACATTTGCATCTGGACCACAGGAGTCACAATTTTTTAAGTTACTTTTTTAGTTTATCATAGTTGCATATTTGTTTTCATTTTTAAAATGAGTTGCTGGTGACATGCATGGTTTATTTGATAAATCTTTGTCTACTAAATTTTTGTTTATTTTAAATCTTTATTAAATTACAACACTGTTCAGATAAGGACCACCAACTTGAAGTCATTGCTGAGCTATGAAAACCATTTCATAATGTCACTTCAATATATCTAAATAAACATTTCACATAAATAGACTGATACCCTAAATAACAACTTTTCGGTCTAAAATGATGATAAAATGCCAATGAAGGGTTGCTTGGAGCTACACAAATTTATCAGTATAGAAATTTAAATATATGACAAAGAATTAAAACATATTTCTACATCTTTATTCCTTCTCATTTTGTTCAATCAGAGCTTAGGTCTGATACAGAGTATGAGTTCTAAGTTGGCATCAAGCAAAATAGCTCTTTTTCCAGTGTGGTACCATTCAGCCCTCAACTGAGACAAGGGAAGTGCTTCCTGAAAAGTTGTGGGTCATTTAGAAGTACTCACGGTCTTCATCCGTTTGCACGACAAGTGCCTGACTCTCCTTGCGACCCTCGGGGTTCATGAGGATGAGTTTGACGCTGACGTTGGTGTATGGTGACAGGTTGGTGATGGTGTGCTGCGGGTGGGAGTTATCTGGATCCCAGCTCACTTCTTCTCGCACTTGTTCCTGTCCTCCGACTTGGTAACAGTAGTGGACGGTGAGATTGTAACTGTGGCAACGGGTCACGTTATAGCCAAATGGCTCCCAGCGGATAGTGATCTGTCGAGATTTGACCTCTACAACTTCCAGCTTTCTTGGACCACGCATGGGATCTGTTTAGAAAAGAAAACGTAATGGAAAAGAATTACAAAAGCTCTAGTGAAGTCCAACTATTGTAAATACTCCTTCTGGCTCCCAACATCTGGTCTCCTCTTCCTCAGAAATAATAGAAATTCCCAAATCTTAACTAGACATTTGGGGATAGGACTTCTGGGAGGTGTTCTTGAAAGGAGGGGGCATAACATGTTTGATCCTTCTCCCTTCCATTAGCTGGGTTAAGGGTATGATGTTTGGATGCAGCCATAAGGGATCATGAGGTATTTAAATTATTAAGAATCCAAAACAATGTTGGAGCAAAAGACTCTTCCATGCAAACTTCTCATCTCAACTGAATGCTATATTACCTCAGCCTTTTTCCTCCCCCTTTATCTCTGATTCAAGGAAACAATCTTAATACTAACATAACACACAATTAAATAAATACAGGCATATTTTCTTTTAATTTGATAGGCAGGCACACACATACACTGAGAGAAACACACACACACACACACACACACACACACACACACACACACACACGTATCTTCCATCTACTGGTTTACTCCTCAAATGCTTACATGAGCCAGGGATGGGCTAGGATGAAACCAGCAGCCTGGATCTTAATTCAAGTCCCCCACGTGCACAGTAGGAACCCTGGTAGTTGAACAATTTCCCGCTGCCTCCCAGCGGGTGCTTTACCAGGAGAACAGATGGGAAAAGGAGAGGTTGGAATTCAAACCTGGATATCCCAATAGGTGACTTGAACAGCTTTTCCAAATGCCTACTTCTAATATGTATTCTCTAAATTCAAAATTTAATTGTAATTATATTAAAAATCTAAATCACATGCAAGGGACAGGAGCATTTTGAATAGTGTAAAGGGAAATATGCAAAGCTTATTTATGAAATGACAATGGGGTGATCATTTAGTCATAACATTAAGTACGGAATATTATTTGAGCATTTATTATGTACTATGCAGTATCCCAAGAAACATCATTTAGGTGGCTAAAAAAATTATAACCTAAAAAGTTCTGTTTTGTTTCACCCAGTTCACATTTCATCGATAATGTTGATTTTTTTTAAACTGTGGCCACCACATAGGAATTAAAGTGATGTATGGTACAATATCTAAGTGAAAAGAAGCATGGAAACTTGAGATTAATAGCTACCTTTTACTGCACAGTTTTATGTTGAATGACTTGCTTCATACAAATTGAAGACTCCTGAAAGTTAACTTGTTGGTAATTTTTTTTCCATCATAGACACAAAACTGTGACGAAGGCAGATTCAATGAGTCAGACAGGGTCATAGTTTGACTGTGACCTTCAAGTTTAGATACTGAAGGTAATGTGATGTTGCCTCAACTAAACTGCAGTGTCTACCAAACTAAAGAGAACCAGCTAACAAGAAACTAAAAACACTAAAACTCCATCTAAAACCTAGAGAAAAAAGACAAAAGCCAATAAAGATCCAAAGTATTTCATCTAAAGACCAAAGGGCTAAAAGAATTCTTCTCCCTTTTCCTTCTAATTCCAAAGAAATTGGGCCAAGGCTTGCAATCTTCGTGTGCCAGACACCCTGTCTGGACTTTAGGGTGCTGCAAATTTCTCTGGGTCTTGATGCCCATTTGTACATAAATCACTTATGTCTGTTCTCTCCATCATTTTGGACCTTGAGATAACACAGAATCTTCTTTCCCTGCGCCCTCCAACGCATGGCAAAATGCGAAGGAAACTGCTACAGTTTTATACAGGAAAGAGGAAAAACAAGCTCACGCTGAGCAGGCGGGCTATCTATCCCACAACAACACTGAGCACCAAGGAGGAGCACAACAAAAACTCCCCCAAGGAATCTTGAGCAGCATGCTGACAGACTGTTGCTTTATTACTGAATGACTTTTTTAATATTTAAACTACTAGTTTTAGGGAATCATAAATGTTATTTAGAAATATCAGGGTAGCATTTTTTCCCCAAATTAGTGACATTTTACAATCTAAAAGGCGACGTCTAATTTTATATAATGCCTCATCAGTTGAACGTTTACAAAAACGTGTAATAAGTTCCAAACCCCTTTTACACAAGCAGATTAGCATGCATCTCTCACCTTACCCCTTATTACTCACAGCTTTCCTCATGGGTTGTTCTACAGTACTTCTCCATGCTTTCCATCAATTTTATTTACTAGTAAAACGACTACATGCTTCAGATATTAGTTTAAACAAGCAGTGCTGCTCTACTTTAATTTTAATGGAAATTTTTCTGTTGCATAAATAAACCTGCTTTTGTGACGCAGCTGCTAAAACAATTGCCTGCAATGCTGGCAGGCATATAGGCACCCCTTCACATGTGCCAGCTGTTCCACTTTCGACCCGTATCCCCTGTATCCTTAATGGCACATGATAGCCTCAGTGCCTGGGGCCCTGCCACCACGTTGGATGAACCAAAAGAAGCTCCTGGCTTCTAGCTCCCTGCTTTGGTCTTCTGGGATTGTGGGCCTCTCGGAACGAGCCAGCAACGAGATCTCTCTCCCTCTCTCTCTCTATTTCTCCCTCTCAGTAATGCCTTCCAGATAGATAGATAGATAGATAGATAGATAGATAGATAGATAGATAAAATAATTTTAAAAATTGAAAAAATGTTCTGCATCACTTTGGTCATCTGTAGTGCAAACATACCGCTTAAATTGTGCCCCATATCTATAAGGGCTCTCTCTGTCTACTGACCAAGTTTTCTTGAAATGCATGTTCATCTTGTTCTGTTAGTACCTCTTGGGATACCACCACAAAGAAATAATTTTTAAAAAGTCTCCAATTTTCCACAGAACAGTCCTCTTGGACCAAGTTTCCAAAGCCACATTTGCATGAGCCAGGGCAAGGCGATATGAGGCTCTACCTTTCAAACCAAAAGAGGTTTGCACTCATTGGCTTGTTCAAGTTTCAGATTAACAAAAGTAAAAACTAATAATAAAATAGCTTTTACAAAGTTCAGGTGGCCCCTGGCTTGATGACATTGGACAGAGGATTTTTAAAAAACACAATAATGATGTAAAAACAAAATGCATTCAGCTAAAACCATACTTGGAATGAGGAATCAGGATCTTTCCTGAGCAGGTGCTGTGTGGTTCATTTCTCACTTTGACACTGAGCAGCAAGCACGAGTCACAGACACTAAGAAAATCACCAGTGTTCTACATTCAATAAAGTATATGGGATTGTGGGCAATCACATTTGGGTCCCCACCCGCTACCTGGTGGGTATGGCTCATCGCTTACCTGCCCATGACCTGAAGCACAGCTTCCAGCCCTACACATGGAGTGTGACCTCTGACCTGACTAGAAGGTCTAGGGCAATACAAGTGGAACATAACCTCTGACATGACCAGAAGATCAAGGGAAATAGACTTGCCTTATAGCCATATTATAGTGTCTTTGATGGGTAGGGGGGAGGGGACTGTCAGAAGATGTACTCCTGCCCTCCTCTTCCTTAACCTTTAAAACTTATAATGTGTGCATAATAAAGCACACCATTCCTCATCAGCTTGTGTTCGGTAGTTCTTCAGCTGAACAACACCATCACCTCACCCTTGGTGACTGTGGGGAGTGCTGGCAGGATGAAACCCCAAGATGAGACATTCAACATTTCATCAGAAACAGGCGTGTATTAGTGATTCCTCCCAACTCTAGGCTGATGTAAATGTTATGAGCACATTTTTTATATCCTTTGCACATGTGAGTAATTCCATTGTGTCTACTAAGATATTATCAGATGGATCCTTAAACATTTTTGCATTTGTACGAAACACAAGAGAATTTTGAATCAAAGCCATGATGTAGGCAACCAGGTCCATTGAAGATAGGAAACTGTCATTTTCTGTTTACAGGATCTAAAAGTAAAGTTCTGGGAGTTGGGGAAATGGATAGTACAAGGCAGGTATACCCAATAGATGTCAGAGCATGCTGTGCGTAACCACGCACCTGTGACAGCATGCTGCTTCAGAGACGGTGTTGATAGGCCAAGCACCATGACTACGGAAATGTGCAAATCCCATCAACTCTTCTCATGAAACACTCGATGCTGTGTTTCTTTGTACTTCTTGCTTGCACTGTGTAAAACTGAGTTCTGATTCAGCAAGACTTACAATGGCTCCATCTGAAGTTAGTGTTTCATCATACCTTTATTTCCCATGTTTCTATGCAACTATTTCCACTTGAGTCTGTTGACTGGGAAGAGGCATTCCACAGGGACATCGCCTGTCGTGAGCTACAACTGAGGATCACTACAGACTTTGAAAGACATCACTGTAGAAATCTATCACTCTGCAGCTTCATAACCACAAATGTGGCTACAAATGCGTGATTTCAGCAGGCTAACTGCACTGCCCCACAAAAAAAGCAAACAATCAAAAAGCCTTGGCATGCCACTACTACCTTTCTATGTGCAACACATAAATTTCTTCCAGTAAGATGACAGGGTAATAAATTATATTCATAGGATCACTACTTATGGGATATCTGACTCTTTTCTCATAATCCTCAAGATGCTGCTGAGGCTAGGAATGCATTCCAAGGCCATCCCTCTTCACATTTCCACCCTCAGGCCCCTTTCCTGGGACAGGTAGCATGACAGGCCTCACTGGCATGAATCATGAGTGAGCCAGTCCAATCTGTGCCCAGCGAGTCCTGATAGGAGATGTACTCTAAGGAGTACACTGGCTGTCGCTTAGTAAGGGAGTTCATCCTGATTCCCTGGCTGGCGCCTGCAATATTTTTCACTGTGTTCTCTTTCTGCCAGGTTGAGCTGGGTTTTGGGCAGAGAATTCTGACAGCTGCAGTTCTGAACTGAGGGACCAGCAAGCCCCGTTCTAGCCTCCAGCACTTTAGCATCCTGTTTAATCAGTGCTCCTGGCTCCTTCTACATTCAGTCCTGTTTTTCCCCCCAAATAAGGGCAGAAACTGACTGATAGGATCAATTTCCATTGCAGGTTCAATTCACAGCTCATTTCTCTGGAA